GCAGTTCTAAAATTATTTATTATACTAACTAAATTAATCGATTTTCACATCCGTTTTACAGTAGAATTTATGCCCTGGTACTCATGGTAATTATATTATCCTAAGAAAAAGTTTAATCTGAAATCATTAATCAATTAGTTCTATCTCAGATATTAATATTAGCGGTTTCAAAAAATAATAAACAGTAATGACGGGTATTTATCTTTGTCAGTATCTTTCCAATGAGGGAAGGTTATGGACAACCACGCTATTGACAAAATGGATGTGCCACTCATTGAAAAAGGCGTCAACGCGTCCCCTGTTTAGAATGTGGTAAACCGACTGTTTCTAAATATAGCTTATGTAATTTCCATGCAGATAAATACATGTTAAAGTCCACCATCACCGAAAAAGCTGAAGAAGATGGCACAAGATGGTTTTGAGGTGAAAGAAATTAGTGGTATGGGTATGCAGGTATGGCGTCCCCGAAAATTTTCAGTGACGGATAAAAAAATTTTTTTGACAGAAATTCTATCAAATTCCGTATTTTTAAGCTCTTTAATATTTTCTAGATTACTGTCACCAAAGTCACATAAAATTTTTAACAGTTTTAGCTTTTTATTTTTTATTTTTTTGATAATAGGGTATGTATGTATAGTATATATATCAGGTTATATGTATGCCAAAAGTTTCGATTTTTTTCTCTACCAATTTTATTAGTTTTATTAGTGACTTTGGTGACAATATAGAAGAACATAATAAAATATATTTAAAAGCTAAAAATCAATAGAGATTCTGTCACCAAAGATGTCACCAAAAATTTTTCGATAACAGATAAAGATCTATTTTAACCGCATTATAGGATAATAAACATAAAGTATAACTCATAAGTCGAGTAAGTAAGTAAACACACCTTGCTACTAGGGACAAGGTAAGTAGGTATAGTGTTACATATATTAATAGCATTACTTGTAATATTTATGTATAAATAGGATGACTTTAACTGGTATCAGCGTGTAGCCTAACGCTGATATATACAGTAAATTGCATTCAGCCTATTACCGTATAGGCGCGAAATAACACACACCTGTGCGTTATTTTGAGTACGCGCATGTGCGTTATTTCAAGATAAAGGATCAATTTTTTAGACCTATTATATTAATGTCTGATGAATTGGATCTTAAAGATTCGATAGAAACAAGTTATGATTATGAAACTGATGAAGAGAAGAATTTTGAAATAGGTAATTACGAATAAATAGAAAGTAAAATTTAGTAAATGAATTTTTTTTATATTGAATGATATATTTTATTATATAATAAAGCTTCAAACGGTTTTGCTAATTATAATATTTATATATAAATGCGCGTTATTTCGAATACGCCTATGGGATTTATTTTAAAAAAAAGTTTATTTTTTAAAAGAGTCATTTTCAAAATAACGCCCATGGGTGTTATTTCGCGCCTATAAGGTATACAAAAATAATCACAGATTATTTACAATCATGACCGATTTTAACAATCTCAATAATTATTAGTTTATTTTTCTGATATAGAGCAATGTAATTGCACCAACCTATTGAAGATAAGGAAGGTACTACACTTGAACATCGGCGAATTTTTTTTAAGGTGTAATACAAAAATAAAAAATACATTCGATAATATAAGCATGTGGATTAATATTTAAGGTACGATCTAAAGTATAATTATCATTATAAAAGCATTTATCCTTAAAAAAAGCGAGCTGACAAGATGAGGATTCACCAATTAATCATAAACATAATATCCATCATCGATATCAAAATCTCCATGTCCTAAATATCGATCCATATCGTCTGGCCCATCATAGGAAACAAAGAATCCACCTTCATTCCCTCTTTCCCCGATGAGACCTTTCCGATTTCCTATCCAAGATCGTATGTTCGCTTTCTGCTTTTTAGTAATTACATTACTAGACAGTGCGAGTTTTGCGATTTCTTCGTATTCATCTTCAGAAAAGTAGAATGTGTGTGATGCAATATAAGAGATACAATTATACAACTGGTTGTTCTTGATATCATGATGATTTTTTGAAAGGATCTGTTTTAAGTTATTAAACGCCTCCTTTCGTTCATGTTCAATTTTTAATTGTTCTAGTATATCGTCTGTTGCAGACATTTTAATTATTACGATGATACTATAGGTATTCCCTTTATATATTTCACTTGAGCTACATGGCTTTGTACCTATTTATGGAATTAATAAGGTTGTCGCCCGTAATTGTTTTAGCAATGTTGAACAACATATATGCCGTAATTGCCGTAACACTGTAATTACGGACGAAAACCTTGTTAATTCCCATAAATAGGTACAAAGCAGGGCTAAAACTACTTATTCATTTTACCGGTCATTCAAAAAGTATCGTTTGATCTAAATTTTTATTGGTCCTTTTCTAATCCAACCGTCATTAGCATATGTAATGTAGCAGAGATTTATTACCAAAAATAAATGACAGGGTGGTTGTTCTCCTTACCTCGCAGGCGAATTTGTGTGAAATTTCCGGATTATGAGAATCAATCACGTGACTATAGTTATTGTCACGTAGTTAAAAAATTCGCGAAAATCGCAAACATGTTCGCAAGCTACATAAAAGTTTCGCGGAACTGACATTACTTAAATATAATGTATTTTATAATTATATGTTTATATTTATACAATGTTTATTAATAAAAAATTAAAATATTATAAATAAATATAAAAAATAAATATTCTTAACAAAAATTATAAAATTTATTTATTTTTATAAATTAAACTTATTATCTAAAAATACTATATAAAAACAATTATCAATTTATAATATATATATATATATAATTAATTAAATTTGTAATATGTGAGCTTCTTTTTCTTTTGTTAATTAACTTTTCATTATTATTTTGATTTATGTCTTTTGAAAAATCAACAGAAAGCTTTTTTAAATTAGATCATGTTAAATCTTCATTTGTTGATAAAATTATCAATAGCTAATGTTAATTCATTATTAAAATTTTTTTCATTAGAATTAATATTTTATTGTTATTTATCTCTTCAATATCAATAATATTATTATCTATTTTATCATTATTTTCATCATTATTATAATTATCTTTTTTTAAAATTAATTAAAAATTAAAAGAAGTAATTAATTCTTTAATAGATTCCTTATAATATTAAAAACAATAATTATAATTGAAATTTAATAAAGTATCAAAACATATAAGTTGATATGAATGTCCAAATAAAAAATTTTTATAATTAAATTTGTATTATTACAAGATTTTAAATCACAAGATTTTTCTTTACTTGAAATTTATTTAGTATAATATGCTGAAGAAAGAGTTCCTTTTACAAAATTTTTTTCTATTAAAAAAATATAAACTTTAATTTATTTTCCTTTTTTTTTTATTTTAATAAAAATTTTTAAAAAAATTTAAAAGAAAAATACTTGTTAAAATAAATAATGAATTCAATTAAGATTTAAAAAATAAATATTTTTTAGATTTAATAAAACTTTCAATAATAAATTAATTTGTCATGGTTTTGATTTATCTGTTAAACTATGTTTTTTATTAAAAACATTTTTATATAATATTTATTAAAAAATAATAGAATTTAATTATATTAAGTTTCTATATTTACAAGTAAGAAGTCATAATATAAATTAGAATATGAATTCATTCATGAAGTATAAGTTAGTATTCTGATAAAAAAAGTAAATGGCATAAGTTAATATTAGCAATAGTTAATAGACTGTTTATATGTAGATAATTATGATCTTAATTGATTTAATAATAAAATTCATGCATGTATCACAACTTAGCCCTTAAAAAAAAAAATTATACTAAGTTTTATAAATATTTAATAAAACATGTAACAATCAAAATATAAAAACAAAATAATTAATTTTATTTGAAATATTAATAGAATTAGGATTTAAATATTTTTGAACAATTAACTTTTATATATTTAATTGTTTAAAAAAATCTATTGAAGTAAGTATATTATTATTTTTTAAATATAATTTGATTTCTGAAAATTCTAATAAATTATTTATTATTTTTAAATAATTATATTTTTTAAATTAGAAAATAAAAAATTAATAAGTTTTATATTTTTTAAAAATTTTTATATATTGATTTTCATAAATATTATCATATACTGTATATACTGTATATAAATAAAATTCTATTAAATTTTTAAATACAAATAATAAGATATTAGAAATATTATTTCATTTTAATTTTCAATCAGTATAACTTATTAAATTATTTTTTACTTCAGTATATATATATATTTATATTAAAGAAGTTATAAATAATACATTATTTATAATTAATAAAGAAAAACATTAATAAATATAAAAAAAATCTGATAATTTTATTATTTTTTAAAGAAAAAAAATCTTTCTTATATAAATGTTTTTTCAATATAAATAAATAAAATAGAAATACAATTAAAAACATATTAAATTTTAAACTTAATTTAAAATTATTATTATTTATATAAATAATATTATTTTAATTTTATAATTATATTAAAAAAATTAAAAAATTAAATTGAAAAGATCTGTAAATAAATAATATAATTAATAATATACTCAAATTTTCAAATGTATATTTCTAATTTAATATTTATAGAAAACAAAAAATATATTATTTTTTATATATAAGTTTACTAAATATTTCATATATATTGTATTTAATAATTAAAAAAAAAAAACTCTTATTTATTTATTATTAATTTCTTGAAAATTTTTTTTTATAGTAATTTTCTTGAAAGAAATACTTATCTTTCTCTTTTCTATATATTAAATATACTATAAACTCAAGGACATAAGGACTTTAGGAACTACTGTTACATTGAAATGGAATTTTTAATCAAAGGTTAAGCAAGTTTAAGAATCTTGCTTGTTCTTTGGTTGTATAGAAAAAGATTCATAATAGTTCTTTTTCTTAATTTTGTTTTTATACACTTCCCTCCTAATAAAAATTATAAAAACTATCCTTATATTAATCCTCAACATTGCAAATTTATTCCTAAAGTCATATTTAAGCAAAGTTACTAAATTTCTTGCTTGTTTTAATCAAATCTTCTCAATTACCCTTATGATATACAATGCTACACTACTTAAAAATTCATAAAATTTCTTATAATACAAAAATTCAAAATCAATTTTACTTCTTCAAATGATCAATACAAACTTAACAACTAATTAAAATTTAACAATCATATCTTATGATAATCAAACCAGTTCAAATCTGTTTACAACAATAACAACAAAATTACTTAATAAAAATATCCTAATAGTTTTCTATATTATCTTAATACTATCAATATCACAGTTATATGAAAATTATTAGATTTTTCACATATTTTATTCAGCCCTTAAACAATTGGCATATGGTTTTATGGATCCAAGTAACAAATCCAAAATTCAATCAAATATTTTCAAAAAAAAACAGCTGTTATTATGGTTTTATAAGTTCAGACAGCATATTCAAAATTCAATTATTAAAATTTTTACTATTTCTATTCTTAACTTAGCTATTTATAAATAAATATAAGCTATTCATAAATTACTTTTGGTGTGACACCACTAACTTGATATAATGTTGTATTAAAAGTTCCATATACAATAGACTAGTATTAACTTAAATAGATACTTAATATAATGGCAAGAATAATACTTATTCAATAAAGTCTTATATTTTTATTTGCAATATAATATATACTGTATATATATATATATTGTATCTAATAATTCTTAATTATAAAAAAAAAACTCTCTTCTGATCACATTCGTTTTGTTAAAAAATTTCCTTTTATAGTAATTTTAAGCAAAAAAAATATTTTACTTTCTTTATCACAAGTGAGCTCCAACTCAGGAACTTAAGAACCTTCAAGACAACTGATACAGTGGGATGGAATCTCTAATTGAAGTCTACTTAAATTTGGAAGTTTTGCTTATTCTTCGGTTACATAAGAAAAGATCTGTAGCAGTTCTTTTTTTTTTAGTTCTCTTGCATCCTTTCTTACTCTTATTCCATCATAAAAACCATATACATTATTATTATTATATTTACCAAGTCAAATATTTTCCAAAATATACTGTATATTTAAACAGAGTTAGTAAGTCTATTGTTTGTTTTAAATCAATCCTCATATATAATATTTTTGTAACAATATTTGCTGCACCACTTCTAATCTCCAAAAATTTTTTACCCAAAAAACTAAAATCAGTTTACTTCTCCAGATGATTAGTACTCTTCAATTATCCAATCAAATTTCACTTAAAGATCAAAACAAAATCTGAACAAGCTCAAACCGGTTTTGTATCACAATAATAATTATAACAATAACAATAACTAACTCACTATCAATAATTATAACAAATAATGTCACATGTATCTCATTATCTATAGTATACATGTGGCATAAATTATTTTGCTGTTGACTCAATTCCCAAAATCCTCAAAAATAATTGCGTCATGACTCAATTATTTATATGTTTTAATAGTGACTCAATTAATTGCATCAAATAATTGCGTCAATTGCATCAAGGATCTACAAATTTCAGCAACATGTATAATCTAGATTATAGAGTTTATTCTTATAGTACCAAACACAGATCTTCCCATTAGAGTCAATGCTAATAGAAGATTTGTCTATCCATATAATACATCTCCAATTTTCTTTGATTTATTTTTGATAAAGTTTTGCCCATTTTAATCATTTGGTTCTGTTTTTTTTTCAAAATAAATGGCTTTTTACAGACAATATAAAAGTAGATATCATTTTTTTTAAAAACTTTAACCAAGGTCTGATCAGAAATTGAAAACTCAGTAGCTAGAACCTGTTTTGGCATTTGTCTTATTTTTGAATTACTTTTAATATTGCAAAGAATTAATCATTCAAAATAGTTATTGACAATTGGTTTTTTTTCATTATTTTTTTTTGCCAGATAATTGAAATTTTTAGTTAATTTTAATTACTTGAGATAATTTTTGATACAAGTTTCCGATCATTTAAGAATGTATGTGATTTTAGGAATAGATAAGCCTTCTTTTCATAGTACTTCTATAGCAATAGCATTCACTATCTATAAGATTTTTTTTGCATCCCATTTTTTACATAGGCCA